ATAATCATAGTAATGCCTTGTTGGATATGTAACATATATAGACATAAAGCAAATAACAATAATAGCACAGAAAAGGGAAAAAAGTGAATACAGCTCTATAGAGTTAACATTTACATATTTCACTGGTAGTGGAAATATAAAGTAGATTCTGATAAATTAAGATGTGTACTGGAAACCCTAGAGTCACTAAGAAAAAGTACTCAAAAATACTATAAAAAAATCTCTGAAATAATTAAAATATAACTAGAAAATACTTATTTAGTGAAAAAAGAAAGCAGTAAAATAGGAACTCAGGTAAAAAATAAATAAATAAAATAAAATAAAATAGGAGACATAAATACAATCATATCAATAATAATAAATAGGAGTGGATTAAAATTGAATAGGAAAATATTGTCATGATTGATTTTTTTAATATCTAAATATGCACTGTTTATATAGAATATACTTTATATTCAAAGATAAAAACAGAATGAAATTAAAGGAATAGAAAAGGTCATACCATGTAAACAGCAACCATAAGAGAGTGGCTATTCTACTATCAGAGAAAACAGGCTTTGCTCATGACTAATAATCCATTCCCCACTAGTGGCAGCAACAATAGGGAATCTATATATAATGAAATCTATTGGATGGCAGGCATCAATGATATATTGAAAGTTAGACCGCAGAAATCAGAAAATCTGATTGTTAGTCTTTATGCCTGTCTATTTGTTTCATGCTAATAAAAGCTCACATCCCTCAAGAAAAAGTCCCATGCACACTGAAAGAAGAACATACCTTTAAGGTCTGGGCTAGAGTTTTAATTTCAGACCTACACCTGAATGGCAAAATGAACCTGCAACTTCTCTCTGCATGTATAGTCTCTTCAGCTGGCAATAAAAATAAAAATAAAAATCTCTTAATTTGTTTGTACTCTAAGCATAGCTAGTCTAGCCAGATATTAGATTCCAAGGTATCTTAAATTTAACAGAGCTCCTGTTCTGAATGATTTATATAGACTAATAACTACTTACATAATTCTAATGTAAGGAAAATAAAGAATCCAGAGGGAAGAAAGAAGCTGAACTTCTAATACTTTGAAGGTGCTTGTCCTTTAAGAAAAATCTATTCTCAAGAAATTGCCGACTTAGAAACATTTTTATTCAAGAACCTAAGTCCACACCATCACAGGAGATCCTTTGAAATACCAAACTTTGGCTTAAAATCAGCTTTATGAAAGCACAATGAGATATTTTATTTCACATTAAACAGGATCATTAAGGGGATGAGGGAAGGGCAGACAAGCATTGACAAGAATGTGGAGAAATTGGAACCCTCAAACATTGCTGTTCAGCTGATTGGGAAAACACTGCATCAGTTCCTCAAAATGTTAACCACAGAGCTATTATATGACCTGCAACCTTACTCCTTGATATATAAAGGAGAGATGTTCACAAAAGCGAGGGGCTTTTTGCCATGGTTTTACTTTTCGCTTTGTGGAAGCTCCCTTATACTAGAAGAGGCTGCATTTCTACCGCAAATCCCTTAGTGCTACTGTGCATCCATCTTTAACACTGGCTTGTGAAATTGTAATTTCCAGAAACAAATTTTTTAAAGTGTATTAAACAATGATTTCAGGTTGGGGGCAAAACAAGAACCATAAACTTCCTAATGATGATTGAATATTTTAGCAAACATTTCCAGAATAGTAATGCTACATGTAAGAAATTAAAATCCATGCCCTGGAAAAACAATATAGCAAATTCCCAGAACAGATTTGGAATAAAAATTTACAACTTTCTGAATTACCCAACATAAAAGTTTTTACAGTTTGATGTTTTGCTGCTCTCTATGACAAGCACAACAAAATGAGAAGAGACACCTTGAGAATTAAATTACTTAGAGAAAGTTCTCCCCTTGATCCACCCTAATATTTACTTATTGATATTTTTATCTATAGATATAAACTTCCCTATTTAGGCCTATGTTATATTTCTGGAAAGACTCTTCAATAGAACATTTTTGCAGAGAAACCATTGTCAAATCACCTAGAAAAATAAAAGGAGAACATGAAAGTGGGTCCAAGCAAACTTTTACAGATGCTTTTCTCAAAATAATGAAGTTTGGAAACTATGATCACATACTTCATCATGCCATGGACTAAATATGGGTAACTCTGAGAAGATTTTTCATAATAAGAACAAATATTTAATGCGACCATTCAAACCATTTTTAAAAAATGGTTATTATTATACTGATTTGCTTTTTATCTAACCCTAGCAAGAGATTTTAAAAAATCATAAATTTGGTATTTAAGAGAAAAGTCTGTAAGGGTAAATTCTTTATGTTGTTAAGAATTGATCATCCCATAAATAACACCTAATGATTTAAAAAAAAAAAAAAAAAGTCCAGTTACAAACTCCCCACTGTCCTATTTCACCTCACCTTGTCTGTTATGAACTTTTTGTACAAAACTTTTGTATAAAACTAAACTTGCTTCATCAGTGTACCAGTTAACATGATTTCTCAAAACAAACAGCACTTAAAAGCCATGAGGAGCCAGTTAAAAAAAATCCTAACTTATTAGTTACTACCTTGATATACTAAAAATGTATCTTTTACACTTGTTTAAAAGGTAGGTATACACATCTTTCACATTTTAAAAGAATAAGAAAATTAGGTAGAGTTCTATTTTTCATAGTATTGCTGATGTTTATTACAAAATAGTCTTCCCTTATAAAGCCTGACACTTTTTTGTGAAAATAAAGATTATTTAGAAATATAGCAAGTTTATTTTTAGTTTCTGTATTCACAAATCAATCACCCTTTCCCTGTCCCTCTCCCTCCCACCCCCCCAAAAAAAAACCTGAAGATAATCATAACCAGTAAAGGACTGAATTTAGAGAATTCAATTCAGTTAGTTTACTAATAGCTAAGTGCTAATGTTATCAAAAGAGTTATCTAAATTCAATATTCTGCCACCAAATAGAGAGTAATAGAGACAAAAGCAATTTAAACCAGCTGGGAGGACTTTCAATGAAGTAAATGACCGTAATTTTACTTATGAGAGTGTGCACTTATATAAAATAATACTCTATTATAAGCTATTACCTATGTAAAATGCAAGGTGATTTTTTACGAGAGTCACTTTATTTATATCCAAGTGCACAATCCTTTGAGATATTGTTAGATTTCATTCTGGCTAAGGGTGGTTTTAAAATAAAACACTGCCAGGATGCAAAATTTGTGATCAATAATACTTCTTGTTGGAGTTAATAAAAGGAAGAATTATGTTAGCTATGCTTAGTTCAGATCATATACACTAGTATTGTAGTCACAATTATTCAGCAATTTAAAACTAAGTAGAATTCATTAATCTTATATTGATCAAGAAGGAGACTGTATACGCACACACACACACACACACACACACACACACACACACACACACGTATGCACACACACCTGTAAATTATAATTTCTCTACCAGAATTGAAAGAGCTCAGAGAAATAGGGCAAGAATCACCAATCAAGTAATTTAATATACAGTTATTTTCTTTAACACAGGTAAGACAGAGCTGGCTTCAGTGCTCTTGGATGAGAAAGATAATTCATTGAACAACCTGAAAAGGCTAAAAGCTTTTTAATAAAATTATGACATATGAAAAACTACTTAAAAATAAATGGTTGATATATGCATACTAATCAAGAGAAGAAAATAACTGAAAGTGATGGTATTTTAGCCTGAAAACCTCAAAGTCCACTTAAACTCTCATTGCAATGTCAGTAACCATAATAAGCACAAATAACTACCTTTATGGGAAGTGTTGTCAAAAGGACAATGAGTCTGGCCAGCCCTGTAAGAATAGCTGAAGTCTTAATACCAAGTGCACATAATACCAGCATTATTATTTACTTAAACTTTTACTAGTTAAAGAAATTAAAAATTATCTATTTTTGAAGTGGACTCATCCAAAATAATAATATTCATGACACCAAAGATATAACATTCTAATTGTATTTTTTCTAATACAGTATATTTTACATTAAAATAAAAGCCCCCCCCAAAAAAATGATATCATGTACCACTATTGGTAAAGACAAACACATTTAGTGAAAACAAACTAGATAATTTTCAATCTGACTTCTTTTTTACAGAAAAACACTGCTGAACATATACTAGCATCAAATTTTAAAACACACTTAATGCTCAATTTAATGTCATGCTTGCTATTTATGCACAGCAGTACATCATTTGAACTTGAAAACAGATTAACAAAGGCAGCTGAGTTGATATATTGAACCCCAAATACTCACTGTCTCAGTCTCATATTGGGAAATCAATGAGCTACAAAGAAATTGTAATTTATACTGAATGAAAGTGTATAGTGTACACTCAAAGGACAGGCTGGCTGAAGGTTCCACTTGGACCCCACCTTCCTGAGCCCAGCAGATAAGAGTTCAAAGTGACCTTTCACTCCCCTAGGGTGTGATTTCTATGCACGAGGGAGAAGAGAATGGTATAAAATGTGGTTTAATATGACAACTCTGCTACTTGTGTTTTATAGAAAAATCACTTTTTGGAGCTCTTGATTTAAATTACATCCATTCTCTTCACTTAGTCAGTTCATTCTATTCCTTTGCAGTTAGGTGTCAAATGACCTACCTCTGCATCTACTGAGTGCTAAGAGAGGTCAAGTCCCTTAGACTTTACTGCTCCTGACATCATCAAAACTCAGAAAGCTAAGAAGACATATAAGTTCATAATGGTTTAAATTATATTAAAAAACACTGTTCGCATGAATGGAAACTACCCAAACTTTACCTATTAATATAAACTCTGTTATGTTCCTAGATATTCATTTTATTATTTTTCCCATGAGAACTGGGAATGAGCTTTTTCTAGCATATAATTTCTTTGTGAAATATAGTGATTAACAATACTAGGTGAAACATTCACTTAATAAAGCTTACAACATTATATAACAAATGATAGAAAAGAAATCATGAATTCTAACCACTTTGTCCTCCTTTGGGAAAGCATCCAAGGAAGCAGAGTAAAGAAAGAAGAAAGAGAGGAAGAGAAAAACAAAATAAGGCATATATTAATAAATAGATTTTTAAGAAAAACAATTATATGTCACTCTTAAGTGTTAAAATACAGGCATATTGAAAATTAAATGTTTACTCTTCCCTCCAAATAGTCATTGTTCAATCTTTCATTGAAAATTGCATGTACATGGATCCTGCTAACAGCTAGATATAAAACTTGGGTACTATAATTTCTAAAATTTTTAGAAATTGGATTATGAAATATACATTTAAAACATTCTTCAGAAAGAAAGCTTAATTCACTAGCATAGTCTACCTATTATTAAAAGATACATTAACATGTGTGAATAATTTTATCAAATTTGTATTAAAACATTTATGGTTACAAATTGGAAAAATCTAAGAATGGGAAATGTTTGTAATAAGTAAAAAAATATTTTATTTTAACCATAAATTATTCCACAAGCAATATTTATTTGTAATACACATTTAAACAGTTAATTATCATACAAAAAATAATGTTTTACATTTTTTGTCTTATGTTCAAAATTAAATAGTTTAAGTTGTGTCTGTTATTTTTTTTTTAATTTTGTTCTTTTGGATTATTCCCCAAAAAAATTGGATTGGGTTTAGTGAAGATGGATGAACTACTCCAAAGTATTCTCTCTTAGCTCAATTTTCTTTAAACATCTTTCCTTTTTAAAACATGAGTTTAACCCTAATATTTTAATATATCAATGGTTAACTATATTTATATTAGTATGCCTCAAACTTACAATGGGAGGTTAAACACATTCACCAGCATTAATGCAGCCAATTTGCTCCCTAAAATATCATCCCCAGGTCTGTTTTGTGAGAATTCATTCCAATACAGATGTTTAAGAATACTAAATAAAGGAAAATTAATAGGTCTTGCACACTTTTTATGTGCCAGACAATATCTTAACCCAAGGTTTTTCTAGAAAGTCTTAAAGATGGCATACAACTTTTAGAAGTAAAAAAGAAAACTTATGAGGCTATAAGAATAAAGCATAAAAATAGTTAAATAATTTTAACTATTTTAATTGAATTATCTTTCCAAGGCCATAAGATAATAGTAGACTCATGTTAAAGTTATAATAGCTACCCTGTTTCCCCGAAAATAAGACAGTGTCTTATATTAATTTTTGCTCCCAAAGATGCGCTAGATCTTATTTTCAGGGGATGTCTTATTTTTCCATGAAGAAGAATACGGTACACATTTATTGTTAAATGAAAATAAAGGAAATTTATTACCTGTATATGGTACGGTAGTACGGTAGTTGTCAACACAAACCAAACAAACTGTGAATTCTACAGTATCAAGAATTTACTCATTTATTCAATGACAATCATGTTATCATCTTCTGGAACATCATCATAACAATCCAATTCCTGAATTTCCTGATGAATTTCTTGTGACTCCATTTCTTTCAGAATCAGTGGACCAAATCTCTCATGTTTAGCCTAGGGGGGCCTTATTTTCGGGGGATGCTTTATATAATATTTCACTCAGAAGGAAACCTGTAAGTAGGTCTTATTTTCGGGGAAACACGGTATTTTACTGATTGCCTTAATTCTACTGGAAAAGATTTTAGAATACCCTACCTGCTACTCAAAGACACTCCCAAAAAATACAATGCTGATTGGGATGTTCAGTGTAATTTTAACAGTGATTTTCCAAATTAGGAAGATATAAAGAGTGCCTAAAGCACTCCTGTTATTTTTAAATATAACTTTGCATTAAGTTAAAGTCTAGACATAATTAGATAATACGTAAAATTCTTTAAACTAGCAATGGGAATTATGATAATCTTCTTTAAATTTTATCTTTTTATTGAAAGTATTACAGATGTCCTCCTTTTTCTCCTATTGACCCCTTGTACACCCCTCCCCCTTTCCAGGCCTTCACCACACTATTGTCTGTGATCATCTTAACTTCTACATTACATTGAAGGTCTGTATCAAAGAAAACTCATACAGACATCCCTATGAATAATTATACTGTACCAATATATGGAATATAATAAAGTACAACATTAAAATGTGTTCTAAACTAAATACTTATTATAATTAATCTAGTACTTCACAAATTATAAATATCAAGTCCCTTATATTAGCATCTTAATTGCCTCAAAATTTTGAATATATTTACAGTACTGGCATAATGGAAGAGTAGCTGTTACATAAGGCAACTAAGGAAACTACATCAAGTAAGACTATATATCATAGAGGACAAATATGTTTTTTAAAAAGCACATTAAAAATGCATTAACATATTCTTTAAAAATTGGAATAATTTCCATGAGATAAAATAAGCACTACATTTCTTTAACATGATATGAAATTACATTATATGGTATACTTTGCATTTTACCTTCATCCACTCTGAAACCAATGTTGCAGAAACTAAAAGAGGGTTTTGTTTTGTGTTTTTTTACAAGAACTGGCAGTAACTTTCAAGTTGTACAACTCATGACACTCTACCTACGTGTACTGCATTTTTTCAGAAAATACATTTACTAAAGATAAATCAGTTGATTCTGAATGGGAATAATTTATTAATATACAACATATAGCCCTAGCTGGTTTGGTGTGGTGGACTGAGCACCAGCCTGGGGACTAAAGGGTCCCAGGTTGGATTCCGGTCAAAGGCTCCATCCCTAGTAGGAGGGGTGCAGGAGGCAGCTGATCTATGATTCTCTTCCCTCTCCCTTCCTCTCTGAAATAAAAAAATATATATATATATTTTTTAAAAAGATACAACATATAGCCAAAACCAGTTTGCTCAGTGGATAGAGCGTCGGCCTACGGACGATTCCGGTCAAGGGCATGTACCTTGGTTGCGGGCACATCCCCAGTAGGGGGTGTGCAAGAGGCAGCTGATCGATGATTCCCTCTCATCGATGTTTCTAACTCTCTATCCCTCTCTCTTCCTCTGTGTAAAAAATCAATAAAATATATTAAAAAAATAAAAAGATACAACATATAGAGACTATCTTTTTATGAATTATTTCCATCACTACTACACTACTGTGAATCTTATGAAAAACCCAAAAATGCAATGGGGAGGGTCATATTCATGTGTACATTGATGCACACGTTTTCTCTCTAACACGCACGCGCTATATCTGCTTGGGAAGCGTGCAGATTGGTTTCCACATTCAGCATTTCCCTCACGCCCCCGGGGTACTCACGTTGTTGGACCGCAGAGACACGCGGCCTCCGCAGCGGGCGCAGAACTTGGTGCGGCAGTAGGAGCAGAGGTGGCCGCACCCATCGGCAAACTTGGTTTTGCGACAGATGCCACAAGTCGGAGCATCATCTTTGTGCTCGCCCTGGTAACGCCGTGCTTCTTCCCCTATTTTTCTCACTTGTTCCTTGTAGCTTTCAAATTGTTGATGCAATCTCCTGGCAAAAGAGAAAATGGTAGCAAACTAAATAAATGATGGAAGACACATTTCCCCCCCCCCAAAAAAAAAAAAGAATAGAATCATAGTTATTTGAGCTAAAGCAAAACCTACAAAGCAACTTCCCCACTAGTTTTAGCTACAAAGGTAAGAAATGAATTAGCATGTATTCTATTAGTCCCGATTTTACCTGCACTGAACCACACAGATGTAAGTAGATCCTATAGAATCACTGTTTGCTCCCAACAGTGGAATTCATGTATCCGCTCCATGCCTCTGCCTCTTTAGACAGGTGGCTTTCAAAGTATTTCAACTAGGTCTCAACACCTTCCACTCCTGTGTGTATATAACCGAAGCAAAAGGTATGCAAAATACTCAGCCTAATAACTCTATATGATGTTCTCTGGTATTTTCTATCTTACTCTAAATTTAATACTGATTACTCTTTCAAAAGTGTCACAGTACATTGATTCCATAATCCATTATGTATGATCCATACTTGAGGGGAAAGACCTTCTAAACTGTTGCTAGGCAGCCTGTGTTCCACAATGTATCTTCCTTCACCCCCTCCTAGAAACTGTGTATTTTGCTTCAAGTATTTGATAAAATATACAGAATGATAGCTTACACATTGTATTTTAACATTAAATGTTCTAAACCACACCTTGTACATATTCAGAGTTTTACATGCCCCATCGACAGTTAATATGATTCAAGTTTCCTCCCCTCCACATTGGTTCAGATCCGGCAATATTAAATCATTACAAGCAGAAATCATTAGCTGTCCTGTATAGAACATGAGGCTATCCAGTGACTCCCCAGTGAAAGGACGCCTCAGTTTTGTAAATGAGAACGCAGAGAGTCATCCCAGGTCTAGCCAACAGTCATTGGCTGTCACACCAAAAGAGAAGCTCCTGGGAAGTGGCTTATCAAATGTGTCTGTGTCTCAGAGCTCCTTTGCTGGGCGTGAGTAGTCCCTAGGACCGTGGTCGGCAAACTCATTAGTCAACAGAGCCAAATATCAACAGTACAACGATTGAAATTTCTTTTGAGAGCCAAATTTTTTAAACTTAAACTTCTTCTAATGCCGTCTTTTCAAAATAGTCTTGCCCAGGCCGTGGTATTTTGTGGAAGAGCCACACTCAAGGAGCTAAAGAGCCGCATGTGGCTCGCGAGCCGCAGCTTGCTGACCAGGGCCCTAGGACACAGAGCACACACATGCTCTTGTTCACTCAGGCAGTTAGCTTGACCCACCACATCTAACATAACTGTGGAGAGCTGGCACTCCCTGGAAACAGAACCAAGTAAGTTTAGTTTCAAGCACTGCACTTGAAGTACTGGGATTTCATTATATTTTCCTTTTGACATCAATAGCTTTTGAGCAGAAATTTACTGATTACTTTTAAAATTCTGAAATACCTTTCCTACTTTGCCCATTGACACTTTTTTTCCTAGTTAATTCCCATAATTAAAGCACATAAAGTACTTTAGAATCTGAAACCTTTTCAACTTAAAGACTATAGTTAATTTCAGTTTATAGAAGGATATAGTGATATGTTATTTGATAAATGCAAGAATACTTGATCAATTTATTGAAGTTATTGAATACATTGCATTAAAAAAAAGCATAGCACAATAAGAAAGAACTGTGGGTATCTATTATTTGAAAAGTAACCATACAAAATAGCACTGAAAATCCTAAAACTTGTATTAAAGAATATAATTATTAAGGAGTAGAAGTAACAAAATACCTCAAATCAAAGAAACAGAAATAAACTTTAAGCTTAGAGGAAGTTCATGAATTAGTATTTATTGTGAGAACCACCAAATTAAATCCACTTAAGAAAATACAAAAGAAAAAAAAAAGAAAAAAAGAAATTTACAAACAAGTTCATGCTGAGGACTAAATATTCTGAAAAATTATATTGCCACACATGCTGGGAAATATTTAAAGGAATACACTTTAATTCATGTTTGAGTTGGAAAAAAGGTATGGAGATCCTCAAAGGAGAACAATGAAGCAGCAGCTGTAATTCAGAAAGGGAACAAACAGCTGCCATGGACATGTACTGAGTCTCTGTGACCAAGAACATGTTTTAACTTTTGTACAAGTGACTGCAAACAAAAATTTAGTTACGTAGCAACCAAAAGTATCTGAAATAGAGCATACAATATCCAAACTAGAAGAGGGGAAAACATGGAATGAGAAAAAATAGCATACTAAAGAAGACAAGAAATTGAAACAAGCAAACATATACAAAGCAGGACAATTAGAAGTGATGGTATGCGATGGCAGACACAATCCAGCACATCAGGAACTGCAGTGACTACAGCATCATTGAAACACAGAGGTCATCACATTAGATTTTTTTAAATTTATTTTTATTGTTGAAAGTATTACAGATGTCACCCATTTCCCCCCTGGTTCCCAACTCACCCAGGCCTTTACCACACTATTGTCTGTATCCATGGACTATGCATATACACACGTAAGTTCTTTATTTAATCTTTCATGCCCCCTGCCCCTTCCTTTTGAAATTTGTCAGTCTGTTCCTTGCTTCCTTCTCTGGACCTATTTTGCTCATCTGTTTATTTTGTTCATTAGAGTCCACATAATGAGATCATATGATATTTGTCTTTTTCTGGCAAGTGCTCATCAGTAGATGAATGGATAAAAAAGCTGTGGTGTGTATCCTATGGAATACTATGCAGCTGAAATAAAGAAGGATCTTTAACCATTTGAGATAGTATGAATGGACAAGATTATTATGCTAAGCAAATAAAGCCAGTCAAAGAAAAACAACTACATCACATTAGATTTTTTAAAATCAGTTTAATAAGGTTTAGAGGAGCAATAACCAAACTATGCAGGCACGGAATGTTTGAAATAAGTGGTTGAAAAAAATATATTCCAGGGAAATGTTAACAAGAACAATAACAAACATACATTATTTAAGGCAAAAGCTTTACTCTAAAGAGGTTAACCTACTATTTAAAAAGTAATAATTTCATGTTGTACATGATAATTCTAAACTTGAGTGCATATCAAATCACTCGGACAGAGAAATGATAAAACCACTAGGACAGAGAAATCCATCTTCATTGTAGGATATTTTACTCACCTCCCTCTCTGTAATCAACATACCAGACATACAAAAAATAATGATAGAGGAGAGTTGAACAACACAATAAAAAAATTTAGATATGTATATATCTGCCCAGGAGACTAAACTTGTTAAACTTGATGAGTACTATATTTATTGTACTCATAAGGGAGAATACATATTGTTTTCATGCTGATATGAAATTTTTCCAAGCCCAGGCTTAAAAAGTACTAGAAATGTTTTAAGGTACTTCTTAAAATGAATATATTAGGTATGCTTTATTCTTTTCTTTGTCCTCTTTGTATGCATGAAAGTTTCATATTAAAAAGAAAAAATGCAGTTCTATCTCATCAAATATCACCAACAAATGAGTGCCATAAGAATTGAACAAAATGAACGTATGTGACATTATTATGTGTAAAATAAAATTGACCACTTATGCCGTCTAATTAATTTTAAGAGGATCTACATATGTTTAATCAAATAATAACTATGAAGAAGATAATCTTATTATTTCTATATTACTTATGAGGAAATTACTTTTTGTCATGGGCTTGCTTTTCCTTTCTATCTGAATATATTATTTTAAATTCACATCCTTCAGATCTTACATTGAGTTCACATAAAGTATGACAATAAATATGGATTTCACATGAAAATAAAAGGTTTTCTGGACTCAGAAAAGTGTTATCTGTCAAATAATGCCAATTTTTGGTCATGGCTAATGAACAAGAGCTGACCATGGAAAAGCAAAAGTTATGCAGGTGAACTCATGCCACGAAACTTCGGTAGAGCAGGGTCGTGCCTCCTGCTCACTAGAAGCATACTTCGTTTCACTGTGCCTCTCAATATTGCGTTGTTTACAAATTGACGGTTCGTGGTAATCTTGCATCCGGCTATCAGCACCATCTTTTTTCAACAGCATTTGCTCACTCTGTGTTACATTTTAGTAATTTTTGCAATATTTCAGACTTTTTCATTTTTATGGTGATCTGTGATCAGTGACTTTGATGTTATCGTTGCAATTGCCTTATCAGACAATGAACTTAAATGTTGTGTGTGTTCCACCTACTGGCCATTCTCCCATCTCTCTCCTCTCCTCAGGCCTCCCTAAACCCTGAGTCACAACAATATTGAAATTTGGCCAATAATAACCCTACGATGGCCTCTAAGTGTTCAAGTGAAGGAATAATCACATATTTCTCTTTAAATCAAAAGCTAAAAAAATAGTAAGCTTAAAAAAAAAAAAAAAAAGGCATGCCAAAAGACAAATGGGCTGAAGGCTAAGCCTGGTATGCCAAATAGTTAGCCAAATTGTATATGCAAAAGTAAAATACTTGAAGGAAATTAAAAGTGCTACTCCAGTGAACACAGTCATGATAAGAAAGCATAGCAGCCTTATTGCTGATATGGAGAAAGTTTTGGTGTTCTAGATAGAAGATCAAACCAGCCACAACATTTCCTTAAACCGAAGCCTAATCCAGAGCCAGGCCCTAACTCTTCTATTATACGACGGCTGAGAGAACAAAGGTTGGTTCATGAGGTTTAAGGAAAGAAGCATCTCTGACACATAAAAGTGCGAGGTGAAGCAGCAAGTGCAGATATAGATACTGCAGCAAGTTATCCAGCTAGGATAACTAATGAAAGTAACTACACTTCATTAATCCTGGAAAAGTTGCTTCTTATGGATGAGCAGAGAAAGTGGCTTCTAGCGATAGAATCCAGTACTGGTGGAGATGCTGGGAAGAGTGTTCAGATAATAACAAAGGACTTAGAATATTACACAAGCTTGGTTGATAAAGCAGTCACAAGGCTTGGGGGATTGACTCCAATTTTGAAAGAAGTTCAACGGTGGATAAATGCTATGAAACAACATCGCATGCTACAGAGAATTCAT